GGTAGTCGGTGATGTCACGTGGCCGATCTCCTGGCGGCGGACGCGGTGCATTGACGGCGAAGCCACGCAGTCCCATCTGTCGGTACTGGCAACGGCGGTATGTGTGCCCGGCCTCGCCGCAGTGGTAGCAGAGCGGGCGGTTGTCAGGTGCACGCCAAACGTCCGTTTTCCACGGCGCACTGTGCTCGCCCGCTGGGGAACGGTAGGACGTCGGTGGGGGTGGTGGCGGCGGTGGCGTCTGGCGACGGAAGTGCGACGGGCGGCGTTTCGGCGTGGACGAGGAGGAGCGTTGTGGCGCACTGCAGCGGCGTAGCTCATAGTTTCTGGCTCGGGTAGCGGTGTTTGGGGAATTCGAAGCGATTGCCGAACTTCTTCTCGCACAATGTCGGCGGTCGAATCCACTTGAGGCTGCGCTGAAGGCAACAGTTTGCGCAGCTCTTTCCGCACGATCGCTCGAATCGTTTCATGCAGGTCTTCGGATTCGCTGGCTTGAGCAGCAGCGCATTCTGGGAGTCAGGTGACGATTATACTGTCTGGTGGGCGTGTCCAGGGTTTTTTCGATGGTGGTCCCCTCGGATACAAATTCTTGGATGGTGTTTGGTGGATTCTTCATTAGTCCTGCGAAGAGCTCCTATTTGACCCCTCGCATGAGGAAACGAACTTTCTTCTCCTCAGGCATGTCTGGGTCAGCGTGACGGAAAAGGCGGGTCATCTCCTCTGTGAAAGTTCCAACCTTTTCATTTAGTAGCTGAACCCGGGTCTCTAGTAGAGCAGCGGCCCTCTCTTTGCGAGCGACGCTCGCGAACGTTTGCAGAAATGTGCCACAGAAGACATCCCACGTTCGGAGCGTGGACTCCCGATTCTCTAGCCAGGTCCTTGCGGTGTCTTACAGGTGGAAGTACACACGAGGGAGCATTTCTTCATTGCCCCAGTGGTTGAGGATGGTCACACGGTCGTATGTTTCTAGCCAGGTTTCCGGGTCTTCAAACGATGACCCGTGGAACGTTGGTGGTTCCCTGGGTTGATGAATGACGATCATGGGCTGGGACGCTCCGGTTGTCATTGTCGCTGTAGTCGAGGTCATGGCCTTGGTCTTCCGCACCTTGTCTTGTAGAAGGCTGTACTCCGGTGGGAGACCTTGCTGTCGGCGGCTTGTTCGCGGCTCTTGGTTGGCGTCGGTGTCTTCTCCGCGACGTGGGCTGGGTTCACGGCTTGACGGGGGCGTCTGGTACATGAACGAAGCAGCACCTCCACCAGATGTCACGGGGTCGTGACGTGGCCGAAGACAGGAGACTTTGCGTTGGAATTTAACTGTTTATTTGGGCGAACCTGTGCCCAGTAAACGGAAAGTCCAATTACAGTAGCAGTCTTGGACTGATACATAGAGAAGTTTATTAACTTCAAACTAAAAAAAAACTATTTACATCATTTTATACATACAGTGCTCGTTTAGACACCCCTCTTGTGCACTATGGGGCATACAAACTCCATTATCCATAGAGGAAACTAGCGGCACATGATAGCGGCGAACGGAGCGTCGGCCGTTGATCAACTACTGACAAGAGGCGAAGTGCGTCGGCATTTATACTCTTGCCATTGAATGTTCTAACGTTATCGCTGGTGGTGGCATATGTTCCAGAATAATCTGTACGGTTCGCAGAGTGGGCGTGATCTTATCGAAATGATCTAATGAAGTCCGGAAGCTTCTCGAAAACTGCACGCGCGTTTTGTGCTGAGAATTGTGTAGTGTTTTGGGGTGATAACAAAACTTGAGAAATGGAACGTGGCAATATATATGTATATATATATATATATATATATATATATATATATATATATATATATATATATATATATATATATATATATATATATATATATATATCCTTGCTTAGTGTACTGGTCAACTCCGACTTGTACGAACGTTGGTTTGTGTGACGAATATATCAGAATTGATTTTTTTTGTTGAAGCGCGCTAAAGACGAACGGACAAAAGAGGCTGACAAGGACAGCGCTTATATATCAGAATAGCGAAGTAATACGCAAAATTTTTTTTTCGCTGAAATGAACTTTCTATAGTGAATGTTTTATATCAACAAACTTTATCTGCACACCCGTGCTCATTTTTGAGATCATTGAATGAAGTTTTGCGCTCTGCGTCACCCATCCCATTTGGTTGCTGTATATCCTCCCTACAAGAACAGGGTTGCACACAAGTCAGCCATCATGTTCAACAGCTGTGCATTGAAGCCACTCGTCGCGCTAATAAGATACAAAGGCGACGCGATGTTTCAGTGCCGGCCACATGCTGCAGGCTTGTCAAGACTTATTAGTGTGGCAGCTCCCCTATTGTGAAACCTGAGAAAGTGCGTAGCACTGGCACCCAGCGATTCCCATTTGTAGAGTTTCTATTGAGCCGCGGTACGCTAACCGAAGCGTCACTGACCAATGTTTAAGCCAAACATTGATTGATATGTGTGGTTTAACGTCCCAAAACCACCATATGAATATGAGAGAGGCTGTAGTGGAAGGCTCTGGAATTTTTGACCACCTGGGGTTCTTTAACGTGCACCCAAATCTCGCACATGGGTCTACATCATTGAGCTAAGCATAGAAGGTTTCCCCAGCCCTATCAGAATCTCATTAGGCCCATTCGCAAGCTTGGTGTGCGACATGTGCGCTACCTACTGCGGTATTTTATCGACTTTCTTTTTCTTACGGCAGCTGAGATGCGCGTCGTATGCAGTGAGTTGCGGGGCGTCGTTTCCAGAAGTGGCCATGTGGCACCACATTGTCGGCGCAGGGGTACGGGTTCTCGCTCGCTCACTCGCTCTGCAAGGCGGTGGTGCCCTCTTTTTCGCAACACCGCAGTCTGTTCCATGTTTTTCAAACTTTTAGGGTATTTCATATCTCATTAACGTAACTATTTCTTGGGTATTTTTCTTACTTACATTATTGTATACCTTCTTTATTCACGTCAACCCGGTTTTCAGCATTGCTTGCCTTGTTATGACTTGTATTGAGCGCTTTACTGGGCACGTCGCCCGAGATCTATGGAAAGACAATAAAACGGGCCCCTGAAGTGCTCCATACTCAGGCCGCGTCCCTACTGACAAAGTTCACAGCTGCTGCTCGAACGAATTGCGCGCAAAGATCGTAATAATAAGCACGTAATATATATATAATAATACGCACTCCTTCAACGCGTCATCAATTTAGGAGAGAAATGGCAATCTGTGTAATATAGACAATTAGGCTAGTTGGAACATATATGTACTCATGACATCAGTGTGTGCTTCTGAGTAAAGGGGTAACCAACGCCTGCGTGGAGGTTCCTGTCAGATTTCGATAAGCACATAGATATTAGGGTATTGCAGCTGTCTGCTGAGAAAGTGAACTAGTTGCGTTGCAACAGAATCGAAACTTGGGCCAGTCGATTGTGCATGGTATAACTGTGGTTTCTAGCTGATTGTGCATGTTGTAAGTGTGCTTTTAGGGCATGAAGAAACACGTTGCGTTAGTTCCAGCGCCTCGCGATTTCGTATGGGTGATGGCTTAGCATCACGTGACGCTACAAATGGCTCTTTTTGATCCCACTTGTGGTGTGACGCATAATCGATCACGCTCTCTGGTACGGGATCGAACATGTAGAGTCGAGCAAGATTTGAAAGTCTTCGCGTGAGCACTGACGACCAATAACTACAAAAGCCCCGCCGCCCATCAGGCAAGTTCTACTCACTCGTTTTCCGGTTCCTTGAACAGTGATTACTCCATTCCGAAGAGGGTGCTTTTTATTTTTTATACAGAAAATGGGCTGCGATGTTATTGGGCGCAACGTCGTAATGTGATTTTGAGAGGCGCTGTAGTCGAGGGCTACGAAAATTTTCACCATCTGGTGTTCTTTACCGTGCGCTGACCACGCGCAATACACGCGCCTTTATAGCATCTCGCCGCCACTGAAATGTGACCCCCGCAGCCGGGATCAAAGCCGCAATCTTCGGGTCGGCAGCCGAGCACAGTAACCACTGCTCCACCACAGGAAACGTATTCTTTGTTATTACCAGGAAATTGTGCGCTTTGACGCTGCATCTTTGTTATCGTCTGTGAATTTAAGAGCAAATCAATTCCACCTTTGAATGCAACAAAATGAAAGCCTAAAATGGTGAGAAAGGGTTGCAATTTTGAGTGGTTGTCTTAGCACGTGAAAACCAACGTGCGAGAGGAGGATGCGAAATGTTAATTTTCTCTATTCCGAAACGGTCCCGGGTGTGCTGGACTGGTGGACGCGTGCGTGGTAATCTTCAAATTGCGCTGGACTGTACGGTGACCACAGAAAAAGATTTGGATCATTAGCCGGGATGGCGGCTTGTGCTAATATTTTTCGCTGGAGGCTATGCTGCTTTATTTATTTTTCTTTTTCAATTTTTAGATGTTCATGTGTGGAATTTTTTTTTACAATATTCAGTCCTTTCAGAATGCACCACCAAGAGTTCACTTCCGGTGCCTACTGAAATGTACTGGGGTGTCCTTTTGAATTTCTTGAGAACTGTAAAACGATGTGTTGTTCAGTGTTAAAAAAATTACGGTGCTGTAGTGCCCAGCGGAAGGGAAGGGCTCCGTGTAACGTAGAGAGCAAACTGATGACATTTTTGCAAATGAGTTCTTCGGAAACCCGCAAGGTGACTCTTCCGCCACCTTGAGGTTTCCGGAGAACTCATTGCAATACTTGTGTCCGTCTGCTTCAAGTTGCCGATGAATTCACCCTCGCGCTGCCACTGACTAGCTTCCTGGTTAGTTCTATTGGCAGAGCGGCCGCCCAGATAGGCGTTGGTTCCGGGGTCGAACCCCGGAGCCGGACAAATTTTTCGGCAACTAAGAGGATTTTCTTTCTGAGAAATCCGTTTGGATTTCCTTGCGGCTTCGTGCTACAAAACGGGTGGTTGTCTTCTTTCCCTTTCTTGATGACATTTTTGTTTCTGACCTCGGCAACGCGCAGAGCGATGCTGGATTCCGACGAAGGGCTGCCCAGCGCTGCGCGGCTGGCCGAAGCACTCGTCCTGCTGGTCATCTGCGTCAGCGTGGTGGCGGCCAACGTGCTCGTGATCGCCACCCTTCTGCACAGCACGCGCCAGGTGCTGGACTACTACATTCTCTCCCTGGCTGTGGCAGACCTGCTCTGCGGCGTGCTCGTGGTGCCACTGTCAGTGTACCCGGCCATCGTCCAAGACTGGGTCTACGGGGACTTTGTGTGCCGCCTCAGCGGATACGTGGCTCTGACTCTCTGGAGCGTTTCCATCTACAGCTTCATGTGGCTCTCCGTAGACAGATACCTAGCCATACGCAAGCCGCTGAGGTACCATGCCATTTCTAGGAATGGTAGTGAAACCCTGTCAAAAAATAGCGCTTATTGAAACACTCTCATAGTATACGAAAAGAGGAGCTATACGCCGTCGCTGACGAGCGTTTGCCAACGCTACCAAGTGAATACGAGATTGATCGAGATTTAATGCACTAGCTGCCAGGAGAAGAATGCAGTTTTTCTGGGCATATCAGGTTGTCTGAAACATTTTCAACGCTTCACAATGCGTATACGCAAGGTTCGATTTTTGCTCAGCACACCTGCCCTTAGTTTTCTATCGGATGAAAAGGTATAGCCGTTTACAGCTCACTTTAATGTCCAGAGTCGTGCCGTGTAGGTAGTGCGTAAGTTAAGTTTTGGACCAAAGCGAAACATGAAGTGACGCACCTGTACCATTCCCCCACGAATAGAGCAAGGAGTTATAATTTTCTGAAGTCGGCTCCTATTGGCTCCCGGATGGCTTGCACCTGCAGCTTGGTGAATGAAGGCCTACTATAAATTATTAGAAAGCCTGCAGTTTACGCTTTCTAACAACATCTTCTACTTTCTCCAAACCGAAAGCGTTGTAATGTGGCGATAGAATCAGTGTGGACCGAAACATCGTTTTTGCTCTACTAGTCTCAGTGGTACTGAGGTGTGGCAGAACTGCCCAACATAACTACATAAAATTGGCTTTACCCTTAATGAAGTTTTATGCAAGGTTGCCATGAAGAGGTATTGTGTGGAAAGCAATTATAAATTTACATAGGTGTCAATAAAAAGGGGCAGAACAATAAAGGTCTCAGAAAGAATGCCTTTTTTTCTTTCGCTTCAGCGCATAGCAATAACGTTTAGTGGTATTCTATGCTATACAGTGAACTTCTTGCCTACGTGAAGTTCTGTGTTCAAATTGGCAGTTAGTGAGTTATGTTTACTTCAATTTAGCAAGTGGATGAAATTATTCAAGCTCAGACTCCAGAGACATTATTAATAAAGCATGAAGCCCTTCTCTAAAATTCTATGAAAAGAAAATTGTCTGACATTTATTAGGGAACCAAGAGAACAGTGAACCTAGTCCATTATTCTTATAACATGGTTTGTGCTAATTCAAATTCAGTTTTTTCATACCTTAATTCAAAAAGAGTATTGAACATTGGTGGAGTCATGTGGTGTCTCGTATTAGCACTCACAAGCTTTAGTGAGCAGCGGCTAAAACAAAATATTTTGAATAAATAATAAATTTTGCAGGTTTTGATTGTCACATTACCTTCTAGACATATTTTCTTGACGTAAATAATTCTTTTTAAAAATTTTAAAAGCTTGGTACACAGGCTACACATGCTCAACTATATTAGGTAATAAAATTAGCATATTTTACTGGGTATAGTTTGCATTCTATTGAAATTCAAATTCTACTACTATTTAAAACGGCATGTACTTCACTTAAAAACAAGACGAATGGCATTATAACGTGTCTTGTTCCAATTGAAAATATTCTGCAGGTAAGTTAGGTTATGAGGACAGGTGAGTTGGGTTATGACATCATTGTTTGTTACTTTTCTTTATATTGCACGTAAAAAAGAAAACCGAGCCCATAAATTCCCACTTTTCCCCTTCATTATAAGCTTTCGCTAGTAGTATAGTATGGCTATGGTTGGATATTCCTGTCAGGTTTCGGTCAGTTCGCCAGACTACGCACGTGTCACGTGCTTCTGGTGGGAACATGTCACGTAACTAGTTACAAAATTTGAGTCACCGTACTAGTTTTTCCTTGACTTCAGTCACGTGAGTACTTTTCCATGATTGTGTACGTGTTCCAGTCAAATGACTAGCTGCTGTCTAGTTTTTGTGTGGAACACGTGACTTGCCGCTACTTCATTTTAGCGGTTGGCGACACGTAACTAGATTTTAGTGAGGTTTCCCAAGTTTACTTTATGTTTACTTGTGAAGAAGTGCATGTAGATAAGGCAGTGGTGTTCTTTTCGTTTCTTTTGTGCCTTGCCTCCACGCGCTGCTTCACATGTAAACATGAACTATCACCAACTCACCCTACTTACAACGTTAAGACGCAATTTTAGATAGATAGATATGTGGGGTTTAACGTCCCAAAACCACCATATGATTACGAGAGACGCCGTAGTGGAGGGCTTCGGAAATTTTGACCACCTGGAGTTCTTTAACGTGCACCCAAATCTGAGCACACGGGCCTACAACATTTCTGCCTCCAACGGAAATGCCGCCGCCGCAGCCGGGACTCAATCCCGTGACCTCCCGGCTGCGGCGGGATTTCGTCATATGACTTGTTGGGTGTATGGCGGAGACATGTCAAGTGACTTTTCCCGTGAGTCAAGCCGCCTCTTGGCAAGTTTTTTTTTCTGTTGTCCTCCAGCTGTGAGATTGTACATGGTGGAAACAAATTTGAATTTGAATATGCTGGTACATGGTGTTACAAAGATTTAGAGATGTGACTAAAGGTAATTTTAGTCGCGTGACCATAGCCGTAACGTGGATATTGGCACAAATATGCCACCTGACTAGCTGGCACTCATGCTGTGCAATTTTAGTGGCGTGAACAGTTGTTAGGGGATCTTTAACACCACATGTTGTTGTGTCACGTTACATAAATTTTGGTCACGTGACTGCTTGTCACGTGATGTTACATCTTTATGACTGTGACTGAATGTTATGTGATGTTACGTGATTTTAGGAAAGAAGGGAAATTTTAAGGGCAAGTTTTTTTTTTGTAAGGCACAATATAATGTGAACTCACAGAGAATGACGCCAAGAAATGTATAGGGGATGTTAATACTAAGAACTGTTCTCGAAGTTAGAAGAAAGAAAAGTGCACGAAAATATAACTTAACTCTGGCATGAACTAAACCTTCCACCTTCGAATAACGCATCTGATGCCCTGCCGATTGAGCTATAGAGCGATGGTCCTCCCCGTTCACTTCATGGGGTATGTATGTGAATTTAAACCAGGCAGCGCCGCCAGTAGCCATGATGCCGTGTTACGTCAATTTAGTTACTCGAGTAGACGTCACCGGTTACGTGATTTCTAGTCTCGTGTGCAGTTAGTACGTTATACCTTATCACGTTAGTGGTTTTGCGTGAATTTAGTCACGTGACTAGTTACGTGATGTTACGAGATGTCACGTAACAGACTCGCCCCCCGCAGTTATTTCATTCCACGCCGCAGAAATTGACACATGGGATGCGGGAGCGAGGCATGCGTCGAAGAGGGCGAAGTGAGTGCGTACGTTAGGAGGAACGAGTATTTCATTACACTTCTCAAATGAGGATCTACACGCTGCTGTGCCGCGAAGTCGTCGGCGCTCGTCGTTCGTGTGTCTTGGCGCCACGTATACCCTTGCGGCGGCGGTTCAAAAGGGGCGTGGGACCAGCAGTCGGCATTAGAGTGCTTCCGTTGGGACTTATACACCACGGTGACGTAGAATTCCTGGAGTCGGCGACTACAGTGTACGAGGTGATCTGAGAGGTCCTTTAGATTAGCCAGCCAACCCAAGGCATGTAGGTGGCTTACCACTTTGAAAGGCTTGCCATGCAGCCAGGGTCGACACTTTCATGTAGCCCAGACAGCAGCGCTTGCCGACACTCGGCAAGCGCTGCTGAGGTCGCGAATTTCGCAAGAGAAAAGGCAGAAAAATGCTGACTAAATGGTAAGAAGAGTAAGGAGGGCCACATCGTGGCTCTTTCGACCGTGCGCTGTAAAAAGATAATAAGAAAACGTTGCATTTCACCCGCCAAAGCATTGTGCCAAAGTTAAACCTTCACCGAAGAAGCAAGAAAGTATCAGTAATGCAAAGGTGCCACACCCGGGTGATATTCGCGAGCTCTTAAATCAAATTCCTTATGTCCGCATTTGCGAGCTTCATTGAGTACACATCATGCTGCTGTCTTCAATCCAGGTTTGTGAAAAATAAAAAGCAGCATTTTTCAACAAGAGGTTATATATATATATATATATATATATATATATATATATGAGATCTAACAGACAGTAATGCCAAGGAATGTACAGGGGAAGTTATTAGAACCAATGGAATGTAAATAAGAATAAAGAAAAGTGGAGGAAAAAATAACCAGTCGTGAGCAGGAATCGAACCTACAACCTTCGAATAACGCGTTCGATGCTCTAACCACTGAGCTACCACAGCGGCCTTCCCTCCATCCACTTTTTTGGGTTTATATGTGAATTTAAGCCGCTGTGGTAGCTCAGTGGTTAGAGCATCGAACGCGTTATTCGAAGGTTGTAGGTTCGATTGCTGCTCACGGCTGGTTATTTTTTCATCCACTTTTCTTTCTTCTTATTTACATTCCATTGGTTCTAATAACTTCCCCTGTACATTCCTTGGCATTACTGTCTGTTAGATCTCATTATTATTGTGTTAAAACACGGGAAAACGAGCCCTTAGGTATACACTTCTTTCCCTTATATGTATATATATATATATATATATATATATATATGATTCAAAAAAGAAATTCGGTGGGTCCGGTGCAAATATAATTAGGAATAAAGGAGCACACTTACGGAAGTTTGACAGTTGTTTACTCTGCGTTTGCGTTTCGGCCGTGGCATGGCCTTCGTCAGGATTAACCACGAAGGCCTGACGAAGGCCGCGCCACGGCCGAAGCGTAGAGTAAATAACTATCAAATTTTCGTAAGTGTGCTCGTTTATTCCTAATTATATATATATATATATATATATATATATATATATATATATATATATATATATATATATATATATATATATATATATATATATATATATATATATATATATATATATATATATATATATTTATATATATATATATATTTGCGAAGCAAGCACTGTCACCGTGTGGTTTCATTGGCACCTTGTTGTATAGCTTCTGCCTGCACGTCAGCCTCAGGAGAGCTTGGGTAAAGGAAAGAAGCTACGCATGTCGATTTTTCTTTACGACTTCAGTCTGTAAATGTGTGCGAATATAGCCACCAACACAGGTCCCTTTTGCCAGATTTGTCAGTGCGTCATGACAGGAGGGGTTAAAATAGCGCTGCAATTTCCAGCGTGCAAGTATTTCATGTTGTCTTTTTCTGCATTGAAATTATGGGCAGTTGAATAACGAATGGAATACATGAATATCTGCGAAGTAAGCAAGCAGTGCGATACTGTTGGTTTTCTGGTTGAAACTCATCATGATCAGCGTACACAACACAAAAAAAAAAATGCACGACACAAGCGCTGTCTAAGAACTGAAAATTTCATGGAGAAAACGTGTCATATATATGCAAACATGAAGCATAAAAAAACCTTGATACCCCCCCCCCCTCCAAGCACGGTTCGTATGTACAGCATACGTAAGTATGCTTTAGATACGAAATGTCAGCATCTGTGCGAGCGATCGAAGGTTCGCTCACGCACCTGTCTCGAGCTTTTATGGTTTCATAAGCTTCAGCTATTTCACGCGTGCGCTGGTCCCTATATCATAAAAGCAAGAGAGAGGTGTATCAACCAGCCATCAATCAATCTCACAGATGCTGAGATTTCATAGCATACTTGATTACGCGCTTGAGAAAGAGGGTTGTCAAGATTTTTATGCCTTAATGTTTGCATATATATGGCACGTTTTTCCAATAAACTTTATTTTGTTAGACAGCGCTTGTGCCGTGCACTTTCTTGTGTTATCTGTGATTTTTTGTGCGCTGACCGTGATGGTGTATGTTCTAAATATCCCAATTCGCTACTTTACTGATTGAAACTCTGGACGCCGAAATTGTAGATTCTTGTAAACGCTTTCAGCGATAGGTGATGCATTAGAAAAGTATTGAAATCAAAGTGAGACATATACTACAGAAACGGTGTCGGCACGGCCTCTGCAAAAGGCAGGAGAATTTCTGCGCTGCACCACCATTTTCATCAAACTCGTAGTTTGGAGCGTTTTTTCTAGATACGTGGTATCGTGCTAGTACTATTTGCGTTTCGCAAAGCTTATTGATGAATAGCATTCATCACAGCGTACTTGAAGATTAAAGACGAACTGCACCAGACGAACTGCTCCTACCTATAATAGTGACAAAGATGTCGGGGTGGCTCGAGTGCACAGCCAATGTTGGCACATAGGTTTATAATAAAAGCCGGTGGACACTCAGCAAAACGTTTTGTGAGCATTGTTACTGTCTACATTTGCTCTTTTACAGATTAAAACGGGTCATTTTTCTTACCCGACCGTGTCAGTGCTGAGAACCTTCGCATTTCTGAATTATTACGCCCTGCTTTGGCGGTACTTTTCTGCTTCACCTGGTATTTAACTTTTATTCCCAGGTACGACACCATCCAGACGCGCACCCGGTGCCAGTGCTGGATGCTGTTCACGTGGATGACGTCCATGTTCATGTACTGCCCTCCCCTGTTCGGTTTCTCTAGCGGACACTTCTACCGAGATGCGTATATCTGCATGCTGGATCTGTCCAGCATTCTTCCTTACACGCTCACGCTGGCGCTGTTAGTCCTATTGCCCAGCGTTCTCACCGTCATGTACACCTATTACTTCATCTTTAACACTATGCGTAAAATGCGCAGGTGCCTGAGCAAGGAGGAGAAAGAGTACGCCACCGCGATTGGTGAGCATCTATCCAACCCTGACCATGTGATGTCCTTCGTTATCATCGTGCTCTTCTGGGTCTCGTGGATGCCGTGGATAGGCCTGCAGGTGTACGAAAAAATTGGTGGTGTGAAGCTCAGGTTCCACGCGTTACACTTCGGCTTGCTATGGTTGGGCGTCCTGGACTGCTTATGGAAGCCACTCATCTACGTAGCCATGAGCCCGAAGTTCAGGCTGAGCGTGCAGCTATTGTTCGTGTCCTTGTGCTGCCGGCATAAAACGCCGCAGCAGCTCGTGGTCTAGCTCATGGTGTACTCCGGCTGGTGGTTTCCTACTGTCTTCGGTTTTATACCAGACGTTCGGAGTATTTTGTAATAGGTTCTGTGACTCAACACCTTCAACTATCTACTTCAGAAAGGTTGCTTTGACAGGTGTCCTGAAATATGCCAGACATTTTAGTTTCGTCAACTTAAATACTCTAACTTTTACAGAACGCATTTCGCGCTTTCTCGCAACTTGAAGCGTTAGGAATGCCTACACATTTTAGACGATCGCTCTAATGGAACTGTGTGACTTCATAACTATTGTGACATGTCATGCTAGCTTGAGGCCAAAGGTAGGCTAATTTAGTTGATAGATTAAATTTGTAGCTAATCTATAGTACTTCAAGTGAGCCACTGACCAAAGGCTGAATGCAACGTTTTAGGCACATGAATTATTTTTTATTTGTGCTATCGTTTACAAAATATTCATGGATAAATCTGTGCACAATACTGATCAGCATTTGTTCGCGCCCGTACAAATAAACTCTATTCGTCAGCTGAATTAGCAACCCAGCGAGCTGATGCAGCAGGTGCATCTGCAACGCCACAAGTTTGCGCTTGCCGACGTACCAAGGGCGTGCAGTACAAGAAGCACATGAAATAAGACTCCAGAATTGATCATTGTCACTTTCGAAAGTGTCCGTGTGAAGTAAAACGCTTCGTAAGTGATTATTCTGAACTATACAGGGGTTCGTTTTTCAATAGAGCCCAAGAAGGTGATGTGAGCAAGTGCGTGCAAATGCAAGCAAGTACAGCTGCAAAATTTTTATAAAATGTTGACCGAAACAGGGTGAAATTCACAGTGTGAAAAGGAAAATGCGAACAGAACGACAGCAGTACTAGAAGATCCCACTCTTCTTGTGTATTTTGTGCTACCCTTGGTGGAGGCGAAATGCCAACGTGAGCAGCATGGGTACTTCTAAGTAAAAAAGTATACAGCAACCATGAATGTTTTCGAAGGTCTGTATAGGACATTTCAGATTTCAAGGGCATCGTAACATTGATCTTCGTGAGGCGTAGACGGCCTGGGTAGCCTTCTGATCCCATAATTGCCCATTATTTGAATACTACCAGTCAGACTTGCTGATGTAGCAGAGACGGCCATCTCCAGGTATGTTGTGTAACTAAATTACATACAAGTTGCATGCATCTCAGAAGCATTTTGAAACCCTCCAAACGTTTTTGGGCAACTATGGTTGATACTGCATCAAAAGAGAAGAAAAAGCAAAAGTAATGAAGGTGAGCGCCGCTTCACAGCCTGCGATGCCTCCATCTTTTTGTATGCTTTTTGGGCTCTGATGCGAGGTTCTAACAATCTCGGTATGCCATGTTCCAGATTTCGCTGCTGTCTTGTGCAAGAAGGTGAGAAAGTGATGACTTGCAAGCTAATGAATAGAGCTTTTTGTAGACTATCGCGCATTGATCATTCATTGTATTGCTTATGGTTTGCCCACTCCGCGTGAAACTCGTTCCGTATGTCGTCATGCAAATTTTATCACACAAAACAATTGCCCCGGCTTCTTTTGGCGCTTTATGACACGAATCCAGCAGAACCTAAAACGAACTGGTGTGCAATGACTTTTGCGTCTACGCGTGGACATTATTCAAGAGACCGACATCCGAGAGAACGATATGGCCATAAAAATTTTTTTGCATTGCACTGCACGCAGAATTACAATGGGCTCTATCACGACGTGGTCTTGTACGCTTTCATAAAATAGTTCGCAAAGAGTGTAACAGCATTCAGGCGGAGCAGAAAGTGGTCTTTATGATTTTTCAAACAGGAATATTGTTTCAACCTTTGTGTCCTGTTAAGGGTAAGCAAGATAATTTTACTATTCACTAATTTTCGCTGACGGCCAGATGTACAAATCACATGGCTCGGAGAAACTGGCACAAATTCAGTAGTGCAAAAAGAGGGCATCAATTTGCGTGCAATTCAGACGACCACTATTTGGGAAACCAAGTGTTTTTGTCATTCCAGTGGATATGAGCTCCCACGTTTACAATTATCAGCATTGTATCCTGTTAGTCCTTCAGCTTAGGTGTCGCTGAGCGTCATTAAACTTGCTAAGATAGACTCACATGAACTTGAAGCACTGGTTTACTAAAAAATTTGCGAACCACCAGGGTTTGTGAATTCGGTGGGTAACCGAGTTGACGTGAACGTCTTTCTTTTCACCTCAAGACGACTGATACGTCAAAATCATAACAACTGTCACATAAATGCGTGATGACATTGCATCGTTTGTCTGAGATATACATGAAGATAGCGCTTTCAGTTTTTGGAGCAAAACAGCCATTTGAGCTAGTTTGTAACGATTCATTTTAAATGCAAAAAGTGGGGCACAACACTTAACTGTCGCTCTCTTCTCTTGCCGCTGTTCCGTACTGCACCTCAATTTTTGCTTGAGTGTTTGGGTGGGCCTTGTTATTCGTCAAGAGGCTTTACTTAATTAAAGTTTCTCAAACATTCCAGTATATCACGAAGTGCGTTATTTTTTTTTTTAAATCTCAGCGTGGCTCACTCGTATGCCTCTGAAAGTAGGAGTGATGAGGTACCTGCATATAGGGCAATACTTTGTCACAACTGTGCCAAATGAATTCAATTCCAGGCATAGTGTAATGAGAGAGAAAGCGCAGGTGAAGTAACAGAAAAAAATGTTTTTCTTGGAAAATGGGAAACAGTTGCATATAGAGTATCAGACAAAAATGATAATGCTGCACTATTCGGCCGCTGAACACGAGCCTGTGAAGAAGCAAGATTTTCAGTGTCAATGTGAATCCATTGGCTATTTTCGCCCGATTATTTTCCATTCGCTTCAGCTTCGCGCACTATTTGCACAGGCGCATTAAACAAAATACTCAACATTAGAGCTACCTCCCTTGTAGCGTTGTCTTGCTGTTCTTTGTACTCTTTGCAATGTCATCACATGACATATCATGGTACTCCTGCATTATTATTACTCTGTTGCGTTGTGGCACAAACTATGGTACTGATCAAAAAAGGCAGTGGTGAGTTTATGCCTGCATTTATCTGGTAAAAAAAAAACTTGGCTTAATAACTTTATGAAGACCCTTTGAATTGGTTTTTATCGACAAACGGTTCCTCAGTGTTGCCACTTTCGGACAATTACGGCCCGTATACTCAGTCTGAGGTGAAGCTAAAAATAATTAGCTAATCTTTAAATTGTGACGTTTCAATTTGTTCTTATATTATCAACCGAAAACTAGACTAGCGTAACCGAGGGAAGTAACTAAGCACGGACCCGCACAAAAGGGAGTCTTCGAAGTTGAATTTTCGCTGCAATGTACACTGAGACCGTACCTAAAAAATTTATCTAGTAAGCTTGGACCTAGTAAGCTTAGGATCTAGTAAGCTTAGGATCTAGTAAGCTTAGGTGTGACAAACTAAATGAAATTAAACGAATTGAACATAATCTTTACTCATACAAGTTTCTAACATCCGTATAAATATTTGGAGCAAGAACCTATGTGGCTAGTGGCTGGTACAATTTAGAAAATAAAAGCTAGCAACACAGATGAATAAATGATCAAATAGTGAGAAGGTTCTTTTTATAAATAGGGGAGGTCATAAGTGAACCAGACAGGTCATAAGTTTAACCTTTTTTTTTGCTTGAGTGCCTAAATAAAACGCATATCGATATTTCACAGCACTCTGTCATCTATGTCTGTATAGCCTGTACATATTGGCATTGCGACATGAGTAGAACTATCAGCGACCAGTGTTCATGAGCTGAAAAGCGTAAGACACGACGGACGCATTGTAAACTTTATCACATTGCTCCGCGGAAAATGCTATGATATAGCACCTTGCTTTAACAATGTCTATAGAAGCTAGATTATAAAAATTGTGAGGCACCTATGAATCACTGAGACAAAAAATTGCCACACCAATTAGCTTGGTCACGATGATTGTTTTCTAATATCTTCGCGGACTTTATATTGTGACGTTGAATACTTTTGAAATGGCTTGGTCTCAGTGTGTTTTAGAGCACGACCTCGAAAGTAGCGATAATGACTTTGCTCTGATTCCCCTTCGACATGGGTATTTATTTTGCCATGAGTCGTTAGGTACTGTCACGTATGGCGTCCACGAGTCATAAGAAAACCGCGCGTTTTACTGGAGTGCTCTGTCTTGTGTATATTGCTAAATTGATCGCACGCACATATGATACGTATATTGTTTTCTCTTTTTTAATGGCCTCTGTGTTCTGTATATTACTTTCTAGTCGTTTGTGCGTAGTGAACTAAGAAACATGAGAATAGGCCGTGTCGGGGTAAAGCAACAATCAGCAATGGCGTGACAGTTTAAAATCGCCACATGACTTATAACGATGTAGAACGTGGTTCTATTGAACTATGTTGGCACTTCTGAGCTTCACTAAATTATTCTAACGAAACTCTTTAAAGCGTAACCGCCAAAAAAGGCAACGTTGGTTTCTCACAGCAAGTCGATGCGCCAGCTAACGGTGAGAGATAGCACTCTTCCGCGGCAGCTTGTTCTTCATACTTTAATTTTGATTGGTTGGTTTTAACTGAGCTTCTATGACTTCGGTCGTGCGTTGGTAGCTGGCTGGCATTAAGTAGTGTTGGCATTTTTTAAGACGGCAAAGCTGCATCTAGCAATGATATTGCAATGAAAAGTTCGTGTTTTTTTGTAAACATCAATGCTAGCATGCCTTTTGTATATACAGTAAAGAACTATGGCAAGCATTATTCTAGTGCTATTTGTGTGTGGGCCATAGACGCTCCATTAAATGAATGTGTGATGTTTGGCGCCATACTTTTTTTAACACTGAATATACGTAGAGAGCTGAACACGTCTGTTAAATTGTTTCAAGATTTGCGCAGAATATTATTCTTTGAGACCATAGACAAGGTATACGTGCTGGCCCCTGGGATATCACTTCAAGTCTCATGCTAACGTTTGGTAGACAGACCATGTTCTTGAGGTGTCACATGAGCATTTCACAAGAAGCATGCATTCCCACTCCGTGCAGCACTTCTGCCGCTGAACTTGCCGTTGTCGCAAATCTCCTTACAGCGAAATGCACTCTTTCGAACCTATGTTGGCTGTTGCCCACAGTGACTAAAATATTGCCATGGTGTGTCTTTGTGTGAACCACTCGTGTACTTCCTCTACCCCAGGTGAATGTATAAAATGTATAAAAAATCGGTTCAATCACCTTATAAATATGTATCGCAAGGGCACATA